CCGAGCATAGCCCTTTCCATAGCTCTCTGAGCGACTTTAAACTGGTGTATTCGTCCAGCCGTGAGTGTCCACGTCTCGGCGCCGTATGTCATAACTGGGAGGACGCGCTGGTCGAAGACTTTCGACTTAAGACATTAACGGATGGGTGACGAGAAGACTTGACGTAGCTTACGAAATGCTGCCCAGCCCAACTGAATTCTTCTATTGGTTTCTCTCTCGAAGTTGTTTCTTCATAATCGGAGCGTTTGTCCTAGATAGACATATTACTAGAGGTACTCCATTAACAGCAACCAGTCCCGGATCAACGAGCTCGTTGAACATGACCTTGGTTTTATCCAAGTTCATCCGGAGACCGATACGTTTGGAAGATTCAGCCAGGCTGCTCACCATCTCCTGTAGGTCTTGCAGGGTTTCAGCCAGGATGACGATGTCGTCCGCGAATCGAAGGTGTGAGATATTATGTATTCGCCATTAAACTTTATTCCACGTCTTTTCCAGTTGAGCGTTCCGAACATGTCCTGCAGCGCAGCGCTGCAGAGCAAGAAAATTTTACGATTCACAAATAGGAACAGTAAAAAAGCCGTGTACAAATGGCAAAGATTTTGAGGTTATCCAACACATAAACAACGCTAAGGTGTTCATGGAATCTGGTACTCGGAGGACTCCTGCGAAATATTATTTATTGGTATAAAAAGTATGATATGCTGAGTCTTCGCGATGTTGACTATCTTATTCTGAAATAAAGACAGCTCTGAGAGTCCAACGCTATTAGAAGAATATTATAAACATTTTGATATATTGTTAGACATTCATAGGGACTGTGGACATGGTGGTCGAGACAAAATTAAGAACCTACCAAATTAAAGATCTATTTATTATAGTTTTTTTTACTTAACTAATTTAAATTTTGGATACTTAATAACCGCATAGACACAGCGAATCTTTTGTTCAATTAAGTAATTCCTCAAAACTTATTGTGGATCTGATTAACTTGGTCTATAAGTACTTAAGACCAAGTTAATCAGATCCATTCTCCCATTTTTATCTAAGGTCCTTGAAAAATTAATATCCCGGCAGCTTACGGCTTTTCTTAATACCAATCACCTCCTCAACTCTTTTCAGTCTGGCTTTCGTAGGGGCCACAGCACTACTACCGCATTGATTAAAATTTCGGACGACATCCGCAGAGGAATGGACAATCGGCAACTTACGTTGTTGACGCTGCTTGATTTTAGCAACGCCTTCAACTCAGTCGACTTTGACATCCTTCTAGGCATTTTAGGTTCTCTTAGCATATCTCCATCCGCAATTGAGTGGTTTCGAAGTTATCTGCTAGGCCGCCGGCAGCGTGTCCGTGTTGATGACACCTTGTCTTCTTGGTGTGATATCATTGCCGGTGTTCCTCAGGGTGGCGTCCTATCTCCTCTCCTATTTTCTATCTTTATAAATTCTATCACAATGTCGCTTTCATGTTCATATCACCTTTATGCTGATGACCTCCAAATATACACTCAGGCCCCTTTATCTGACCTCTCTAACGCAATTTCGATTATCAACGCAAATTTGTCGCTTGTAAGTAGTTGGAGTGAGTCATTTGGTCTAACTTTAAATCCTGAAAAGACTCAATCGATCATTATTGGTAGTCCTTATTTTATTTCTAGGATCAACTTTGATCAATTGCCTACTATTATTTTGAACGGTTCTGTTATTCCCTACTCAGAAACCGTGGGAAACCTGGGTGTTGTCTTTGATCGGAGTTTCTCCTGGAAACCGCATGTGGAGGCAGTCAGAAAAAGGGTGTTTGCTGCTTATGGTTCCCTTAGTCGCTTGCGTAACTTTTTGCCGATCAGTACCAAAATCAACTTGGCAAATTCTCTCTTGCTGTCTATTATCGACTACGCTGACGTTTGCTACACTGATCTGTCGGAGGAACTTCTCAATAAATTAGAGCGTCTGCAGAATGTTTGTATCAGGTTCATTTATTATTATTATTAGCTATTTCCTTTCCGTTTCTTAAATCCATTTAGCATCCCATTTCTTTGCTTCTCTTGAATATTTATGTAAGGATTATCTCCTGTATTTTCTTTTTTTTTTTTCTTTTCTTTTGCACCCTTCTATTTTTATCTATATTATTATTCCTCTTCCACCATAGGTTGCCTGGAAGAGATTGCTGTTTAGCAATAAGGCCGCCTATTGTACTCTTTCTTCTGTTTTATTTGTTTATGTCTTGTGTCCTTTGTTGTGTGCAATAAAGAATATTTATTATTATTATTATATTTATTGTTATTATTATTATTAAGTACATTAAATTAAATTGCTAATGATTATTTTTTTACAAATAAGGTCCCAAGTGTCATAAAATTGGAGTCCAGGGGGCCAATCGCCTAAAGGGATTGCTATCGCAATTGCTTACAATCCATTTTGTTATTTCCGCCATAGGTTTTCAAATACCTCACGCTTATTTTATTTGATATTGTTTTTACCAATGCAAAAAAAGAGCGCGGGCATTTGAAAACCTTCGGCGAGGTCAGTAATAACAAAATGAAATCATCATCAAGCATTTGTGATAGTAGCTGTTGCGTTTGAGTCTAATCCCTTGCCCCGTGAAGCCCCAGAACCTTACCTAGTGTTATTTTAATATGATCTTTTGTGGTAGCGATAATTACTCCAAACTGGCGCTCCATTACCAGCGATATTTTTTTTGTTAAATCTTAATATAACCAATGACTACGAGATAATACCCACGTTACTATTCTAATCTTTTTTATTCTGTGGGCGTGACGCCGTATAACGTATGATAAAGTGATTTGTGTGAATGTGTAACTTAATTCGACACTTAGAGATAATGGATGGAAAATGCCGAAGAAAGTTTATAAGGGGAATGTGTCTGGAAGGCAAAGTTCGCCCACGAAGAGCGTACATTGAGCAAAATTGCGACGTCCAAATAAGTGCCAAATAAAAAGAGACAAAAATAGATGCAAAATCCTAGGTATAAATAAAGCACAGCAGAATCCCACCAAAAACATTTTTATGTAAAATGTTGCCAAGACGAGACCATATATATACCTAGTCAGGTCATAAATTCTGTCACATATTTAATATAAAATAATTGAAACAAGTTTATTCATTATGTAACCATTTATATACCAAAATGAACATAACAAAACATAGATTCTTATGATAATAAAGTTTATTCAAAATGACCTCTGTGATTTTGAATACAGGGTTTCAGTCTGCGCGGCCAGTCGTCTATCACAGCACGAACGAGGTCCATGTCAATATCGGCGGCTGCTTAATCAAAGATGTCTTGTGTGACTCCAAATTAGGATGAGGCTTTGAGCACGCCTTTTCCTCTAAGTGTTACCATATCTTGTAATCTAACGGACTCAAATCCGGACGGGAGGAGGACCAATCTTCGTGCCGGATAGTATAGGAGTATACATTTTTATTTTCATGAACAATTCGAAATTCGAATTCAATATTTTTTTTTGTGGCCAGCATTCTAAATGAAAAGTGTTTACTGTGTGACAATACTTATGACCTGACTGTGTATATGGCTCGCACTGTCAATGTTATCAGATCTCATGTAGAGCCAAGCTTCTAATTCAATACGCCCTAACTTACAAGGCCTAACTTCACATTAGTCAAAATAAGTGGCCATTTTGCTACATTCACAAGGGCGTAAGGTGAAAATTTTGTCGACTGTTCCTTACTTTTCTGTTCTATAATACTTCTTATACAAACTAAACGGCCAAGCCCCATATTTTGACTAAGGTGTAGAGTTTGTGAAGTTAGGCCTTCTAGAGTTTTTTTTTTAGATTATCAATAAAATCTAAAGTATAAGAGCTATGGAATTAAAACTTTATATATGTTTAATAAATCCGCTATTGACAACATTTCTCGAAAATTTTGTTAAACTGGTATAATCCAAACCTAAGTTATAAGGGTTCAAAAAAACGACGAAGCGCTTCGAGAAAATGGAGTTAAGTGCCCTTTCGCTTCGCTTGGCTCGTCCTGTCATCTTGGCGAAGGTACAAACCGCGCCCACAGTGTCCCGCTAGAATTCTAGTGTTCATCTGACAGAAGATTGAAAGCGAAGCGCTGATTAATTATAATTGTTTTTGAAGTTATACTTCTTTAGGCGCGTTATGAAAAAATGATGAGAGTGAAATTTTTAGATGCGCGCGCATCACTGTAACCCAAAAGTGACAGCATGAAGTTGGCCGCGGGCGCATTATGAAAAAATCATGTGAGTAAAATTTCGAGATGCGCGCGCATCACTGTAACACAATAGTAACACCATGAAGTTGGCCGCGGGCGCGTTATGAATGTTAGTGTCTAATAATGGTGGATTAGTTAACCACTTAGTGGTTAATAATCCACCATTATTAGACATCTGTTCGAAAGGTACTTTGAATATTATAATTTTATAATATTTATCCACATGTTTCTAGTTTCTATATAGACAAAACGTGTTTTAGTTACTTACAAGTGCTAATTACATATGGACTAATAACTTAAATTCAGTAGTGATTTTAATTGAATATTTTGAATAGTTATTTAATTTTTCAACAAAAAAAGTTCAAAAACTGAACTTAATTGACTGTGTTAACTATCCTTTTCCAGTCCTTTTATTATTTTATTGTAATTATTAATTATTTGCATGCAATTAAAAAATATTTTTAATGATGCTAAAGAAGTATAACTTCTCACGCGCGTACATAAGTTACACGTATCCATTTTTTTTTTATTCCCCTTAACGTTAGGCCTTTTTATTTATTATTATTATAAAGAAAGCGATAGCTTTTTTCTCGCTATGAGAGGCGTCATTCTGAAAACGAGAGTAGAGTATTGCGCATGCGCATGTGTCTGTAGTAGCTATCGTGTGGAACTTGTGGAAGTGATTTAAGTGCACTTTATTTCAGGAAAAGGAGGTCAGGAGGATAAATATATGTTCAAATTTGGCCTGGCATCTCCGGTGAAGGTGTTTAGGTACTCACGTCGGAGCGGTGTCCACGCAGGTTGTAGTTAGTGCGCAGGGGCAGCTCGTGCGGGCGTCGCGCATGTGAGGACGTGAAGGTGACGCCCACCACGCCGCGCACGTTGCCCGTCGCCAGCCAGCCCTCCTGGTAGTAGTTGTTGCGGTTCAGCTTCCAACCCTCCTCCTGACAACAAATAACATCCTCGATTTCAATCTAGCAGAAGAAGGTGTTCTTTACTTTTTCTTTAAATTCTAATATGATAGCATAAAGCAAATGAAAACGCGGGAATCAGAACGATAGTACTTAAAACCGGTCAAGTGCGAGACTTGCAAACGAATGGTTCAGTAGCATATATGTAAGTAAGTACATGCATTTATCAAAACGAAATACTTCATATTCTTGCTTCGCATTTATGTTGACTGCTTTCCATTTCACTTTATTGTTGTTTTTGTTATTTGTTGTAATAGCGGCCACAGTTCGCGCATCATTAAACATCAGTTTCTACCTATTTCCGTTTAATTAAGGGATAGAGCCCTATGTCAGACATATAGATGGTGGTGGCATATTTCAAGTTTCCATTTGTCACCCTTTGGCCACGGATGGAACTTTACAAACTACGCATACCGGACAAAATATTGAACCTTGAATAGTCTCAAGCAAGCCAGAGCTCTGCCTATTTTCTCTGGACCAAAGAGATCGTCAAATTATTACTTGCTTATACTCACTACAATACCGCCCTCGTAGCGCTGCTTGTAGCCACTTCGTAGCTATAAAAGTTTGGACCAATGTTAAAAAATGTTTTGTCCCGGCTTTGATTAGTTTTAATAGCATTTGGTAACGTCATTGTTTCTGATAGTTACGCTAAAGGAGAATTTGTGGTGTTCACATGCGATAGAAGTGAAACCTACAAAAATGTGAACACGTATAAATAAATAAGGAATTTTACCAACCAATTTGGCAGTTGTATCTGTTACCTATACCTATTTTTTTTTCTTTATCTTAGGTTTAATTTTTTTCGATTAGTTATTCACTAAAATCACTGTACCATAATTTAAAAACATTTGGAAGGTATGGATTGTTTGAAAAAACCGGCCAAGTGCGAGTCGGATACGCGCACGACGGATTCCGCACTGTTATTAATACAACATTGGACACTATATTATAATATCGAGAAAAAAAACGGCATAAAATCATGTCTGTTGTATGGGAGCATTCCTTAAATATCTATTTATTTATTTTATTTAATTATTTATTTTTAAAGACAATATTCAATCAAATAGTCTGTGAATATTACAAGCGTTTACTTGTTGCCGTTATTATAATATAGAGTACAAAATGGCAAAAAAATCCCGTTTGTTATATGGGATTTTTCTTTATCTTAAGTTTTTTTTTCGAAATATTTTTCACAAAAAAATACTGTAACAAAATATGCGCACATTGGGAAGGTGAGAGTTAATACAAAAAAACCAGCAGTGGCGGCGCTAGACCACATGTGGACGTCGGCGACATCAAGTTCGCGAGGCCTATTTTACCGTTTTAGTAAAAAACCGTTAAATTAAGTGAGCCAAATTATAAAGTAACGTATGAGTGAACGAGTTTTATTGTTGATAATCAAGTCATGACAAAAAATAATTACAAATATAGAAATTTAATAACAAAAATAGTGTTGCCAGACAGACGATTCTGAATACCCGTAAACTGCTCAGAATAAGCTTAGATTAAAACAAAAAGGGTAGATACGGCACTAGCCTCACAAAAGTGATCCGGATGAATTGTGGTCCACCATCCTAATCGCTTTAGTCACAACTTGACATGCAAACGACGTACATGTGAACGCCAAAAAGAAATCTTGCTCATATTTTGTGTTTATATGATAAAACAATGCCTAAGTGTGTTTTTAAAAAGTGCTCAAATTGCTCAAGAAATAAAAATAAAACCCACGGCATCACTTTTCATTCGTAAGTCCTATAAAATATATTTTTTCATAAAAATTGCTGTTTGTTTTGAATCTTATTCGGTAGTGTCGTCGAGTACTGGTCGCGTGATTGGTCGGTAGTGCAGTGCCGCGGATCTCGCCGTCTCGTTCGCGCTGCCGTTGAAACTTAACGTGCTGTTTCGTTCGGGTCGGTAATGCAGTGACGCGGATCTCGCCGTCCCGTTCGCGCTGCCGTGGGATCAGTTTTTGTTTGATACAAGTATGAGCGTACCGTATCTACCCTTTTTGTTTTAATCTAAGCGAATAAGATTCAAAACAAACAGCAATTTTTATGAAAAAATATATTTTATAGTACTTACGAATGAAAAGTGATGCTGTGGGTTTTATTTTTAGATCTTGAGCAATTTGAGCACTTTTTAAAAACACACTTAGGCATTTTTTTATCATATAAACACAAAATATTAGCAATTTTTCTTTTTGGCGTTCACATGTACGTCGTTTGCATGTCAAGTTGTGACTAAAGCGATTAGGGTCGTGGACCACAATTCATGCGGATCACTTTTGTGAGGCTAGTGCCGTATCTACCCTTTTTGTTTTAATCTAAGCCTACCAAACGTTAAATACTTAACTATTCAGATTGGGAACTGGAAAAACCACCTAGCTCCGCCAACAATACAATTAGTATGTATCAAAAGATCTATGAAGAATTTGCTTTTCTTACTATGACACTATAAAAAATAGTAATCGAAATATATGACACAATGTATAAATATACATTGCATTACTATTAATTTCTATTTACTTAAATAAGTAGATAGTAATTGTAAGTAATAGTAATACATGCATATAAATTTAAGTTGCTAAATAAATTCATTTAATAGTACCTTCATTTTATATTATTAGTAACCTATACATCTATATAGTCGAATAATTATGCAGTCCTTCGTCTTACTGCGTTGTACTCGTAATTGTGCGCTTCCTGTCACATGACTGATTTTTAACTAACACGCTTTGGACCACAGAACACAGAAAGACCTCTTTCTGTGTTCTGAGCTTTGGACAGTGGAACACAATTATTGGTTTTGTGAATTAGTATGGATGGATGAACTGGAATCATGTTTTCTCCGAGTCGTGGAGAAGTTTGTGTGATTTGTGGTCGCTCTGTTTTACGTAACAGAGCAATTTACTACAACGAAATGACTGTTTGAAATAACCCACACCCAAAGGGGATTTTTTGATTTACTCTAGCGCGGCAGATTAACATAAGGGGGCCCTTGCACCTTGTGAACTACTCCCATAATACCTGATGAGCCCGCTATGTAGGGTCGAACTAACTAGCTAAATTAATTCCCTAGTTTCGTTAATGTTCGTTCGTACCTATTTAAATTGTACCTATGTAACTTAAAATAACTAAAGACGATAGAATTTAATGCGCTTTGCCACAGACGATTATGACTATAATACCTTTCAAACAAATGTATTTTAAGCCATGGCGGACGTAGGTGCAGCGTCCATACATTTTTGTCCAATGTCCTTTACTTGGAAATTTCTAATGATTTGATGAGTAATTTAACAAAAAAAAATGTAAGTACAAACAAATAGATTGGTTACCTCATATATTGGAAGATTCAATTCCTTCAGGAATTATCAAATTTTGCTGAGAATTTAGTATATTTTAGAGAACATAATAACAACGGTAATTTCCAACGAAAATCAGTTTGTCGTATCGTATAACACCTCATCATCAACTTAAAATGTAATTAATAAATAAGTGAATAAAAAAAGACAACGACTGTGACGGTTTAAAGTTTTAATGGATCGAATAAAGCTACCCAATCCTGGGGATCCTTTTGAAATTAATTAGCGGAAGCTACTTCAACTGACTAGGTAAATAAATTGTATTATCTGAAACATGCTAGGAAATGTGAGCATTACTTTGACAACCTTTTCGCAATAAATCGAAATTGCTGTCGAAATCGAAATCGAAGCTGGCTAACAAAACGGTATAATTACGCATATGGTTTTGACCATTATAATACTTTATTTTTACAGCCCGGAGGTTTTGGGCCAGCTGAATTAGAATTTCGACACATGTCAATCAAAACCGCCTAAAATAGTGTTAAAATTACTAAATTAAAACCACGCCAAAAGCTCACTGTATGTATGTCATTCAGTTTTTACTGCTGCTGTAAAATTTAATTTGATGTAATTATACAGCTTTGTTCGCCAGCTCCTCAATTGTATAAAAATCCATGTCTGTAGTGTTTAGCGGCTAAATAAATAACATAGTAAACTAATACATGTATATCTATAATTTTATTGTTTTAAGCATGTAACTGCTCGATGTTTAAATCTAAAGAAAATATTACTAGACAAAATTCCATGGGGACTAGGCAGCAGATCGGACTCGACCCGCACCCTTCGCTATCCGAGCGAATGCACTGATCATTATGCTACAGCGGCCCTGATGGCCGTGTCGAATTCCTTCTAAGAGTTCGAGTCCCGTCTGCAGTCTGGTCCGCGTGGATTTTTTTCTAGTAATATTAGCTTTAGATTTAAACATCGAGCACTCACTTCTACTCACAATACATGTGTATCAAACATTCGATTAATTTAATTGGATTGACAAACTTACGACATATAAGTAGTTTTAGAGTTCATACCCAACTGCATCCCCCTTATTAATAAACGAAGGATAATAAGCTTGGATGATTTGTGTTACTCCATGTTTTGTCTCTGTTCATTGAATGACAAATAGCATTTGAGTGATATGAACAAAACACAGCGTAACTAGTCTATGCTTATTCCTCGTTTATTAATAAGGAGATTACAGTTTGCGTTCGATTAAACAGAAATGGCCACTTGTCCACGGCCGGCGCCTGATGTACTACATACTGTACCTACAGTATGGAAGAATTAATTGAGGGGCTAGGGCGTCCGAAGCAGACCGGAGATCGAAGGCGAAATTGGCAATTATCCAGACATTGCGGCATAACATCCCCCCATTAGCGCGTCAATCGGATACCAATTAGCGAGGACTTCTTCCTGCTATAACTCTCTGCGCCCCATGAAACTCAACAGGTCTCATAGAATAACAATTTGTAAATGGGAAATGACTACACACCTGGTGATATGAACAACACTACCTTCATATATATCTACTGTCATCTATAGGCAATAGATTCTCCCGTTTTAATTTGAGTACCTACCTATATACAGCATGTGCGAAAAAAGTGGGACCGGTACATTTTATTGACAACATTAGAATTTGAATACCATAAATTGTAATTAATAAGGATTTTTGAAGTTATACTTCTTTAGGCGCGTTATGAAAAAATGATGAGAGTGAAATTTTAAGATGCGCGCGCATCACTGTAACACAAATTATTAACAGCATGAAGTTGGTCGCTTTAGCGACAAGTTTCATACAAGTGCAAATCACATAATATGTTCTAATAAATTATATTCAGTAGCGATTTTAATTGAATATTTTGATTATTTATTTATTTTTTCAAATTAAAACTGAACTTTATTGACTGTGTCCTTTTCCAGACTTTTTATTAATTTATTGTAATTAATTATTTGCATGCAATTAAAAACTAATTTTAAACGATGCCAAAGAAGGATAACTTCTCACGCGCCTACATAAGTACACGCAGCCATTTTTTATTAATATTTGACGATTTAATATTAACAAGGCCATCAACATTATTGTCCATAATCACTTAACATCTGTTGCAGCATACTTTTCGTCGGTTTTTCGTAAAAACAAAGTAAAGACTTCACAAGAACTTTTAAATCATGAGTAAGGTCAGCAATATTCACTAATTTTTTATCTTTAATTTAAGCTACGCTCAAATATTTACAATGGATTGGTATCATGAGACGGTGAGGGTCAATCCAACACGTCAATACTTATTCGTTTTCTGTTTCGATTATGCTGGATCAACTGTAGTGTTTGGGATCATTATCGTTATGCTCAATCAGTCCATAAATCACTTCGGCATGGACGGTGGTTCTGAAGCAATGCAACGTATCGTACGTATCGGTATAAACAAGTGCAAATATCCGAAACAAGCTCGAACTGAGTAAGCGGCTGTAAAAAAATGTGCCTCGTTGGAAAAAAATATCTTGCTGAAATTGTGTCATTTGTTTTCGCATGGCCAATGCAGCCTTTTCACAGTGTTTTTTAAGCCAGAAACTGGAGGGAATAATTTGTTTTTTACAAAGCATTTATTTATTCTATTCAAGCAAGCCAGCATCCTGGAATGTTGAGCCTTATATTTATTTTATTAAACTGTATACCAAATGTTAAAATATGCTGATCACGTTCTTGTCAAACACACTGTAGAAATGATCGGTTAGACAACACTACGACAGGCAATAACTACTTAGATTTCTACATAAACCCAATTAGGGAGAATTTAATGTTTGGCTTTTATATTGTTAAAAAGAAATTTATTTAAAGATAGGTAAGGTGCAGCTGATTTAGATCTGCGATTGTGCAATTCGATAAAAGTATTAGGTTAATTGAAAAAAAATCTCAAATGTATATACCTCCCTATGTAGCTAAATAGCCCTTGAAGACTATTTGAATAAAATTAACGCCGTGCAATCACATTTTTAAAAGTGACAACTTGTTTTGATCACGATTTGGGAAAATTATATATCTTTCATCAATGCTATGAACTTTAAACGCAAAAAGAAGCCTTTATTATTTGTAGTGTCGAATGCCGGATGGAGATCACATAGTTCGCGTTAATTAACTGCTAGCTCTAAAGGATTTGTTCTCCCGCCCGAGGGACGCGTAAGTACCTTTAGTTAAAGTTTCCAAGAAGAAATGCTGCCTACAGTTCATAATCCCTTTTTGAGGGTGTTAATGGGAGATTCTCACACATTATTGATGAGATACAAAACAAATTTCAGATCTTTTTGGGAAAAATACGAATTTTATCGCTTTAAAAGTAGGTAGAGTGGTAAAGGCGATACCGTACTTCTGTTTACTTAGATTACGTTAAATAATTTCCACTAAGTACCAAAAAATAAAAAATACGTCCAAAAACAGAGTATAGAATCTTTTTTGATGAAAGGTACGGAATCTACCCTTAAACTAGTTCCTCTTGTAGTTCATTTATTGTGAATCCCATAAGAATTTTTATCGGTCTTTTACGTCTCTGTCAAAGTTATACTATCTGAATCTTAAATTTCACACAAATTCATTACTTCGGTTTTGCGTGGTTAAGAAACAAATCCAATCCAAACATATTATACAAACTTTGACAATAACAATAGGTATTGTACGTATCTATAAGTTTTACCTAAAAAAATAATAAGAGGAGATAGAAATACTTATATTTAGTAAAATAAAACAAAGGAATTTCTTTGAAAACAGACTCCATTTCTGTGCCTATTAATTCTACGAATAATAGATTCTAAAATTATCCTTCACAGAAAACCTGTCTAATTCGCTACTAATACTTGCCTACTCTATTTCTTCGAAACACTTAATGAATCGTTGTTCGAAAGTAAATGATAGAAGGAATACCAAGAACTGCTCAGGTGAGATAACGATCTTATTCAGACACCTAACAAGTAGCAATTAGGATTGCCGGAGAACCATAACTCATCTCACGAAACGACATAAAAAAGGTAAATTTAAAAAATCAAAAAACCCGACTGCTTAATTATACTTCAAATAAAAACTGAAAAGAAAAAAACAAGTCCAGTAGTCTATAATTCTGTTAATAAGGAACAAAGCTACTTTAACAGTCGGGACCCATTAGATATTCAAGAATACATAATATTTTTCAACAGTGGGTCCCGACTGTTAAAGTAGCTTTGTTCCTTATTAACAGAATTATAGACTACTGGACTTGTTTTTTTCTTTTCAGTTTTTATTTGAAGTATAATTAAGCAGTCGGGTTTTTTGATTTTTTAAATTTACCTTTTTTATTTCACACTTTTTAGTTAGTTAGTATTTTAAGACGGTATATACCGTAGTCTTGTTACTTCAGTAAGGGAATTAATATCGCGGGAATTATTAAGTACCTTAAGACAGTCTAAAAATGAATCTAATGATACCGCATACATATTTTTTTAAAGGGAAATTTAGAAAAAATATTATGTCTTTATCCCGTGGGACTTTTAGGATAAAATGTATCCTATGACACTCCCGTAATCAAGACAAATCTAACGATACCTCATACATCAAAATCCATCAAGCCGTTTAGGCTACAGGAGGTCACAAAGGAACAGACATACATACATACTTACATACACTCCCTAAACATTACCCTCCCTCTTTGGCAGTCGGGTAAAAAGATCCTCCGCAACCCGCCGCGTTCACTTCACGAGCTGTCTACGTTTACACAAAAAGTGTGCATTATTACGATGCTTCGTAGTCAAGAATGTGCGAAGTGCTTGCTACCCGTCGGAATGAAAGTAAAATAGGCCAGAAGTAGTAAAAGCGAAGGAAGGTTAATTGAATGGGGCCCTCTCGCACACAGTGCTCGCTCAGCCATGGTTAGATCTGTGAATTGCCTGGACCGCACTCCGCACACCCTCTCTTTTCCCTTCCAAATACTATTCCACCAGTATACGGTTCGACGCAAATCGCTTTCAATCTTCACAGCAGAGAAATGTAAATTTAATGCAGTATAATAACGTGGCGCAGGTCTCGGTGGCAATCAGCCTCTACGTGTCTTGATAGCAGCTCTAATTTATTCCAACCTGTAGCTAATGGGGTAAAGATAGCCTACATAGATTTACTCTGATTAAAAGAAATAAGCAAATCAGGCTTCCCAATAAAAGCTTTATTTTATTATTGAAAAGAACGTACATAATGTATGTACCTAATAACATTGTTTTCAATCAATAATTAACTACTATTAACTTAAGCATGAATTGAAATCGTTTGTACAGTATCATTAACTTAATTAATGACCTACCTACTTCACAATTATGAAGTACCTAGCTACCTATCTTACGCTTCAACATTAAGATTTTGTTATGGTTGAAACCGTTCTAACAAAATAAGCAGTTTACGAGTAGCATCTAATTATAGTCAATGGCACAAAAATCTAAAGATTTAACACTCATATGATAATGACATGGCAAGTTTTGGATTCTTCACGCAACGATACACACTTTAATGTAAATGCTCGCTGTTCAGTTAAAAGATCGTAAAGACCTTACCTCCGGCAGTTCGTCGGGGACTTTGCCCATCCATGACAGCGAGAGTATTGTGCAGTCGCATTTAGCGTTCACGTTCCTCTCGAAATGTAGATGCATTTTCGCTGTATTGGAATTATCACTTGGACATAACCGCGGGGCACTACATCACTGGGGCACGCGAGCTCAATGTCGCGAGCTCTCTAGTCGGAGCGGACATTTTACACGATGTAAACGGACATTCGGTAACGGTACGTGTACGAGGGGTTGACAGAGGCGCGTCGGTGGCGCGGCTGACGTTACAGGGTGACAAGCGAGCAAGCCTCCGGCGGCCGTTCGGCGCAGGTATTGATTGCGCGAGGGACCGCGCCGTCCGCCCTCTACCGCCTGCCGAGGAAACTTGGGAAACCCTTCGGAAAATACGCGGCTACTGTACCCCGATTCGAAACTTACGTGACTAAGACCAGATTAGTGCTAAACATCGCTATAAAAATGTTAATCCCAACCACCGACGATGACGATGACGTTTTAATTAATAATAATAATAAATCTTTCCAACACTCGCACGAATTATTACTTTTATATTATCTATCAGCTTCTTTTCTGCATGGAATCCACCATTCTACTGATTTGAACGCATAAAAGTCACTTAATAAAAACAAATATTTAATGCAGAAATTGTGTTTATTCAAAACCCTAATGATATTGAACTAAAATACATAATCTAATCCAAAGAAGTACTGAAGTTAGTTTGTTTATGTAATAAATTAGAGTGAGAAATTTAAGACTCAATGAAACTACGGGCAATAACACACGAGCACGACTCACGTGCCAACGTATAATCTTCATACTATGTGCACGCCCACAACGTACAGTGCTATTTTAATTTTTGTCGCAAGTTTAATTTTGGCAATGTCTTCTACTGCAGTGCTTTCAATCGTCAGTTTCGCGGTTAACTGGGAATTGGGTTATATTTGGAGTTATTATTAGGTAACTGTGTCATTTTTGCCCTTGTTACAAAATTATGTCAGACCTATAATAAGGTACTTCATGGACTGTACTACTAATAGGTACTAACATAACATTTAAACTTAAAAATTTACTGAATAATAAACTTTGACGACCTCCGTGGTCGAGTGGTTTGTACGCCGGGTTTCATGGTGTCGCCGACTCGAGAGGTCCCGGGTTCGAATCCCGGTGGGGGCAGATGTTTGTGTGATGAATACGAGCATTTGTACTCCAGTCATGGATGTTTAATATGTATTTCTATATAAATATACTTATATATGTACAGTATATGTATTCTATCCGTTACCCTAGCATCTCATAACACAAGCCTTACAGTGCTTACTTTGGGGCTAGGCTAATTGGTGTGAGTGTCGGAAATATTTATATTTATTTATTATTATTTATTTGAGATTCGACCACTGACCCGACTTAGTAGTAAACTGGCTTTTATTTTTCACATTTTTGAATATTACTTAATTTTTAAGTATGAAATTAGTCTAGCTTACTATCTACCTAAAAGAAAACTAACTACTGGAATAAATTACGCCACAGAGAACCGAAGACTGCAAGCTATTATGTAAGCAAAATCAACTTGCGACTGAGTTGCAGATTTAGTTTTTTATATAAAGCCTTAGGGGCTTTATACGTAACAATATTTATCGTGCTTCAGAACAATAATGGCCTGCGCAGACGAGGGACTTTTGTGCATACAAGAGTGTCCTCCAGAAGAGGACTTTTGTCCGCATATGAAAAAATTGTCTGCCGAGGACATGTTACGGACTCAACGCACACGGTGTGCGGACAATTTTGCAATTTGCGAAGGTTTGCGGAGAAATATTTTAAGATTACGTTGTATTGTAATTAACATGAAGTTTAAGAAAAAGTGAAGACGTTCTAAAAGAGGACACTGGGTCTATCCCTTTATATCGAATTGATTATATATTTGTATTGTTGTTGATTTTTTTTTATTAAGCTTTCACTATAATATTGAATAAAACAACGTTTCACGATCTTTCAAAACATACGAACAACATACTTGATGTTGATTTATAGCCTGCCATAATAGATCTCTTACAAGTCCTCCGCGGTAAAATGTCCCTCGTCTGCGCAGTCTATAAAGAAGGTACCTATTGGTGGTCATGTTCACGTTTTAAATAAGCGGCATTTTGATTGAAAGTCTATTTTCGTCACGCAATTCTGTAGCAAGCATCCGATCGCAAATCAGTTGCAAGTTATATAATATTTAATAAGCCTGCCCGTCTGTGGGTTACACTGTGCTTATATAAACAGCTTTAAAAAACAGCTCTAAAACTTTACTAACCAACAACCCTTAAAAGAGGATTTCTATAAAAAAAATGCTTCTGCTATTTTGTTCAATGGGAACAAATACCTTACCTGTTGCACAAAAAAAACTGTGAATGATTATGAACTTAAAGAGTTCATAAAATCCACTCAAACTGACTACGCTCAAATTTATGCGCTGTTTGTTAAAAAACGAAACAAGTACCTAAATGCCTTTAAGACTAAGTTACATGAGCATTAAGAGTATTTTTGTGACACTTCGTACACGTGAACTTAGTGAGAAATAAAGGTTCACTGCTGGTTCCCCGTAGGTGATAGCGTAATAATTTGTAGCCTATATATTGACCCGACTTCTTAATAATATTGCCAAATTTTAAGTACTTTTTGAGTTTATCCCGGACATACATACAGACAAACAGACAAAAATTCTAAAAACTATATTTTTGGCTTCGGTATCGATAGTAGATTACACCCCAAGTATTTTTAAAAAAAAAAATTCAATGCACAGTTTTGACTTTCCTACCATTTTATTATATGTATAGATTTGAAGGTAAAAGGAATAAAGGCCACATGTAAAGGCCTTTGTAACACTGCCAACCTTTGGAATTTTGGGCAGGACCACAAAGCAAATACAATCATCAAATGAGAGCAGGACACCAACCTAATGTCCGTAGAGGACTTTAAGCTTATCGAAAACAAATAATATTTTCTAGAGACTGAAAGAAAACTACAAGCAAATAAAATTTATCTAATTTATTTACACCATTATTGAAGTAGGTATAAGGTACAAATTGGAATGAATACATTATAAAAAATACATGATCGTTTCTTGGCTTCGAGACTCTAGCAATATTATCACAGATTTAATATAACAGTTCTAGTATCACATTACAGTTTAATTTCATTCATATCACCCCACGTGGTGCCTGACTTCACTTTAACGGGCAAAGGCACTTTCAAACGGACGGTGCCCTCCATAGCTTCTTTTAGAATCGCAATAAATGTACTTTTGTAGGACTCGTGTACTTCGTATATAAGTTCGTCGTGCATCTGGAGGTATAATTCAGGTTTGTGGCGGTGTTGGTCAGTTTTACTATCTATGGCACACATTACCGCTTTAGCGATGTCTGCCGCCGATCCTTGTATCGTTGTGTTCACGGCTTGACGCTCGGCCGCAGCTGAAACCAAAATATTTATTCATTTTGAGAGAAACATATTATAAGCTATGAATAATTCAATATTTCGTGTTGAATAATAAAATTTAAAAAATTATGAACCTAGGACCTAAAAAACTTTTATTAAAGTAAGTTTGTAATGCTTAGTATCATCGAAAATAACATTATTTACATTTTCATATAACTGAATGGCTGGAGTGGCTGGTAAAACTGCTGCACCAGTTATCTTAGTGTCACTTACATCAGTTGAGATGGAGTCATATATATATATATTTAAAGATTCGGACAAATATATATATATATATATATATATATAAATTATTTTGAAACTATCATAAATTATTCATTTACATCGCCATCAGTCTATTAATGTCTGCACTGTTGAAGCACAGGTTTTCCCTATGGGCGGAATAGGGAAAAAAACCATTATCCACCAAGTGGCCCAAGTTCGGAGGGGTAGGTGCTAAGCTAAGGTTTGCAGATGCAGCAGAGACCAACAGTTTAGCTTGCCTTTCAAAGTACGAAGAAATTAGAGAGGAAATTTTTGATCACCCATCCTATAACAGGCCATTGACGCTTTGCGAAGGTGTCATTAGGAACCGTTTGGTTCCCATATTTTGCATAATCGAATTTCGCCGCAATAGATTCGACGATCTCCGTGGCCGAGTGGTTTGTACGCCGGGTTTCATGGTGTCAGGTGGAATCCCGGTGGGGGCAGATGTTTGTGTGATGAATACAAGCATTTGTACTCCAGTCATGGATGTTTAATATGTATTTTCTATATAAATATACCTATATATATATATACATATATATATATGTACAGTATATGTATTCTATCCGTTACCCTTGCATCCCATAACACAAGCCTTACAGTGCTTACTTTGGAGTTAGGCTAATTGGTGTGAGTATTAGTAATATTTATTATTTATAGATTTAGAATCAAGCGAAGCGTTGCATGAAACGAGTTCAATATTCTCACATTACTTATTTGCTAGTAGTCAATAATTAGAAATGTAATGGAAGTATTACTGTCTAACAAAGGCCGCTAAAAGATGGTTCCAACTCATGCTACTAAACTTCAATACTAACGTGACACACACAGAGACAAAACCAAATGCTTTAAAAACAAATATCTGCAAATGAATTCGGCTATCCATTTGATCGGGTAAGTTAATGTTAAACGGAATTCCAACTACTCCCATGATCGGCGTGTTGATAGTATTTTTTTCGCCCCGCCCACTTGATCGCAGTTTGTGTGGAATCACTTTTAAGCGTAGGTCATATGCCTTATTATTTCTAATTCTTTGAACGTAACTATGAAATGAAAATTTATTTACAAAGAAAAGTTGCTACGACTACGACATACGTGAATATACTATGCTTACCTCTCTTGGACGGTGCGGAGCTGTTTATATCAGGCAAGTATCTGCGCCGTTTCGTTAGCGTCTCAACATAGCCCTTGAGTCTGCAATCCTCGATGACGGCCTGCGTAAAAGCCTTGACTGCGGGGTAAGTCTTATAGAAGGAGTCCATGAACATAGCAGCCTCCAATTCGGTGACATCTAAGTGCTGCGCAAGCGTCTTGTTCCCCATGCCGTACAAAATTCCGTAACAAAGCTGCTTAGCTTTTTGCCGCAAATCGTCGTCTACCTATAATTCATATACACTCGACTGCAAATAAACTGGGCCAACCGCTAGTAGCTTGGAACTCTAATTCGATTTTTTCAAAAAGTACAAAACTTACAACTATTAAAGCTATATCTACAGAAAGAGTGTTTCATAAATATTAATATGAGTAAAAATTTATTCTAACGTACTGTCAACTTACTTTGTAATCGAGCAAGAACAGCAATGCTAACAATTTGCATTTTTTTTAGTAAAGTCGCGATTATCTTCTTTTTTATTACATGATAGTTCAGATATATGTCAGATATTTCTTATCATTTCCTTAGTTTTTCTCCATAGTGTTCGCAGACGTGAGTATTTTTGCTTCGTTCGTTACTTTCGAATACCACAATTGGAAAACGGTTCTTCATTGGCTTTTTTTTAAATAAAAATTTAATTAATTAATCAATTAATTAATTATCTCAATAAATTCTAGTTCATGTTAATCACCATGAAACGCACTTTCTGTAGTTGTAAGTTTTATATTTTTTGATAAAATCAAATCAGAGTTCCGTGGTAGCAAGTGGCCCACTTTATTTGCAGTCGAGTGTAATAAGGGCTACCGTTTTCTGTCTCACCAGATGGCGCCACTGTTGAGTGAGGTCCTGAATTGTAACTTTTAAAGTTTATTCATACGCACGTGAAATCAAAGTTTACATTTAAATCATATTTTAATACAAAAGAACCGTATCCTTAACATAATCGGCCATGCCACAGTGATGCGCAGTTCGGTTTTGTTCGGAAAAAAGGAGGACATACTAATTTTTCTTAGCTCCGCTTTTAAATAACTGACATTCATTGCCACGTAACCCATATTTGCCATAATTATGTCGAGTTTTTACCAAATATTCACAACATTATTTTAATTAGAAATAAACCCGCGTAGTCAACCCACAAGCAATAACATTTGACAGTTCGGAGACCTCACGCTACACTAGCGCCTCTAGCGGCGGATTCATACGCGATAGCCCTCATTCAATCCACCATCATCCTCATCTGCCCATCCCTCTCTGGACAGAATCACAATTGAGAACGAGCCATTATCACCACGAGGAACCGGTGCAGATTGGTGTGTGCTAAACTTATATTATATAGGTATAGATTAAGAGGAACTGTGTAAACAGCAGTCCCAATCACCGAACTATCGGCATACACGAAAATTCAATCAGTAATTTTCCTGCTTCAGTTTTTTACATTAACTTACCTCATCCTCTGTAACACCACTCCAAGACACAGCAATAGACTTGAATACGTCCACGTTGGAGTTCATTATATCCGTGAGCACCGGATCCTCGCTATAATGAGTCAGAATTCTCATTTCCAGTTGACAGTAATCTGCCGATATCAACACGTGACCGGCGGCTGCTTGAAACACGCTGCGGCAGTTGAATTCAACAACCTGGATGCTTTCTTCCTTGTTCATTGTAAGATATTTCATGGGAATGCAGAAAGGACGAGGTACATTTTGCAAGTTCGGTTCGTGCATACTGACTCGTCCCGTGCACGTGTACATTGTGTAAGAAGGATTTATTCTGAAAGCCATAAATCTATTTTAAACTAGTCACTGATAAACGCAAAATTGGGACTTGATTATCCTTTCAATTTTCATATGGTAACTGATTTTGATGAAGAATAATATTCTTCCTTGTACGTACTAGTTTCAATGAGGGAATTATCCTTTTGTTTACGTTAATATCAACTTACCGATCACCTTCGCTATAAATGCAAGCTTTTTCAGTTAAAGGGTACAAGGTTTTAGTCAATATGGAATTGAGTTTCCGCCAATATATGATTATACTCGAAAGTGGGGTGTTGTGCGCTGTTAAGACGCTTTTCTTGGTACTCACTTTACGCCCCTTGTACATCCCTAAAACCTGAAGAAAAACATGTTTATTTATTCACATACATAACATCTTCAGGACAGGTTTGGCAGTTGGCTGAGCATCAAAAATAAAGCTTGAGAGTATATGACAATCACTCGCTTAGGTACAGACTGTATGAAAATATATTAATATTTTTTTAAAGTTTTCCTTTATGCTTTACTTTGATTTTAATTCAGTATCATTGTATTTGATATAAATACCTTCGCAACATCCTTAGAAGAATTAAAGTTGAAATGATAGCCGCATATTTTAAAAGCTTTCTTTTGAAGTATTTCTTGAGATTTTTTTACGTCGATCAACAACCGCGAGGCTAATTGTTTATCGACAGTTACACCGCTGCATTCACAACCGGCCAAAATCTTGAGAACCTTTATTTCTGTATCTAAAAAAATGGATGGTTTAAAAATAGTTTTTATATAGCTATAGTTCAAACCGTGGTGGAATCATGTGGTCAAGGGTCTCGAGTCCAAAAGAAACCCGTTTAAAAAGCTGATTTTGACATCGATATAGGTACTTAAGTAAAATAAAACGCTTATGTTTTATTTTTAAACTAAAAGTGACTAACTTTTTATCTCGTCTACCTCACGGTGTGAGGTTATATTAAAATAACACCAATCTTGCCTCTTTATAAGTTGAGTATAGATAAAAAATATTATTTAATAATATATATACCAAGAGATTCTTTATGGAAATTGTTATTTATTATGTACATTATTATGTAAACTATATTTTTTTAGGTTTTAAGTTATCCCTTTCGAAGTAGACCATCCTTGGTCAAAAAGTTTGATTTAAAACACCACAATTAGCAAAAGAAATACTAACCGATAATATTCTTAACAGTTGTATATTGTTTTAGTAAAGTATTGTATAGTCTTTCTGCAATATGCCATATAAACCATGACCTAAGGCTGAGTTCTTCAAAAGATTCTAAATTTTTAAATTTCTTTTCTTTATTATCAACACTTATAGATATGGTAGCTAAATCAATGTCGCAGTATTTCTTGGCCTGAAAATGTTTTATATTACTAAAGATTAAATACAAAATTTTAACATACCAGATACAATAGGTAAAAGTAATAAAATAAGCAATTATATGAAAATCTTTAAAGACAACAAATCAAAGAAACCAATTTCGTATTACGAGGTAACAATACAAAAAAAAAATGGAAAAATTAAAACTTATCAAAGCACAGCAAGGAAAACAATTATAGTAAAGCACTTACTAAATGTGACAGATATCGAGGTTTTTCATCACTATCTACTAGCCATTCAAACAGAGATACGTCTACCCAAGGCAATGGTATTGCTGTATTTAAAAAACGTTTCAATTGAACGAATACTGGTTGCAATGAAAAATATTTCCATTTTATATCTTTTCGCTTGAATAAAGCACTTAGCATGCTTTTTACCAAAGTCATGTTTTTGTGATCTAGATTTGACAAGTCTAAAACAATGCTTACATATGGCTTAAAAGATATTGAGATACTTTTGATATTGACTGTATTGCTGAATTCATTTTCGCTGTGTATTTTAATCGTCTTTGTTGATCTTAAGATGTTACTTCCAATTGTATTACATGTCGAAAGAGACATACTATTTTTTATATCTAAATAAACGGACATATTATCGACGTGATCAAAAACATGCATATTATCTAGAATATCTTCTTTTGTTAGTATATAACAATGAATTTTACTATTATGAATTTTTAATATATACTGTTTTGACGTAGCTTTTTTTAATATTATTTCTTTAGTTAATTTTGTGTTATTATTTGAAGTAACCCTCTTTTTTACTTTTTTAGGCGGTTGCATTAAGATATTATTACTGCAAACATTTAAATGCCGTTTGCATGGACTAACGAAACAGTCTTTAACTGACATTATTTTCTCATCTTGAGTAGTAATTTCGTCATTAGTTTTACGTAGTTTGGTATACGTCTCATGTTTTTTATCCGAATCCTTGTTATCTTCTTCGTAAACTAATTTAATATCTTCATCATCATCTATTTCATTTGTTTTTGATATGAATTGATTTATAACGGAATTCAACTGATTGCTACCTCCACTCTGTTTAAGGGTTTGATTATTCATATTATCATCAATATTGTCAAGCAATTTACTGGGTAATAAGTCTAAAGGTAAGCTATCTTCAAATAAACTAGAATTTTCACCATCAGATGAAAACAGGCTAACATCTTTAGAAGATGACTTGAATGTCAATACTTTTTCAATACCCTCGTTACATTCCAACTTATCTTCAACACTATCTAAAGTCCTATTTGGCGAAAACATAGTATTATCACTACCACGGACTTTTGTAATACCTTCATTAGGTATTTCAGTAAAGTTTAAAGAATCCCATATTATCTCCTCTTTTGTCACTTTAAGATTTTTGCTTAGATTAGTTATGTCTTTAAGGGGACTTGCGACGTTAGCATGATTATTTAAATGATCACTAATTGAAATAATATTCTCAATTGCTTCACCTTCAACGTGTTTTTTTTTAATATCATGCTTATTGTCACTTGAATTAACAAGTACTTTATTTGTACCAAATTTGTATACGTTTAATGTATTTGTGCTAAGATTACAAATGTCATCTTTTTGTGGGTCTGCACTCAAAAAAACATTTAATGAACTCAAAGATTCTTCTTTATTTTTTTCGAGTTCTGATTCTCCGTTTTCAGAGTTTAACTGAGCAAATGTCAATTCTATGGAATTTTTAACAGCTTCGTTTTTTACATCTGATACATTTACAGTTGAAATAGATTGACTTTGTACTACAGATGAGTTGTTTTTATCCCATTTAATATTCGTAACACCTATTTCATATTCTAAATACTTTCTGGCTTCTACTTTTAACTTTTCAGCTGCTTCTTTAGCTGTCATAGCGCAACATCCTGTAATCCAAACATTCTTTATCTTGTTACGTTTTCGTATATCTTCAATATCATCTCCTTCATTTACTTTCTCACTTTGAAAGGGCAATGATTTATGAAGTGCATTTTCTAATCTGTGAACATCACCAGATGCAATGCTAGCAACAGTTTCAAAACCACAGTCAAATAGACTTCGTGCTCTCACCCCATTTAAAGACGGTAATTTCATTAATTCAATCAAATCAGACTGAATCCCGAAATGTAAGCGATCTTGAAATTGGGAAACCAACATTCCCATATTTTTCCAACCTAATTGATTGCAAAAAGCAGTCACCATTCCTGAAATAAAATATATATTGTCACAAACGCTCTAGAAACAAAACTGCGAAAATACTAAAGACAGAGTTTACCATAACACCACGGATGGCGATAAAGGTTGAGTGGTGCGGTTCATCGTATATGAGCCTTATGCGGTGCGGCGTAAGGAAAAAAAATGGCAACGACAGCTGCACTTGTTTACAACTGCGCAGAGACAGTTAAGTTTCAACCGCGATTTCGGAACGAATACAAAGGCGATCAAAGTGCAAGTAAAGTGTTCAAGTGCGATTGTTTAAAGACTTGTATAGTGAAGTACAGTGTTTAGTAAGTGTATTGTGATTAACATTGTGTGTTAACTGTATGGTGAATAAAGTACTATCAAGCGTTAACTGGCATATAATTTCAAACCCTGTCCCGACAACAATATATATTTTGCAAATTGCCAAGTAAAAATACTTTAAATTTATTTAATTACTTCAGTTTATAATAATTTTGATATACCTGCAAATGTAGCTGCTGCTTGTTGTAGACTTTGCAGAAATCCTCGGGCACATTGAAATTTGGCAGCTACCTCTGATAAACACATTTCATTCACTAAATCTTGTAATGCTAATGCTGTATAAAACCTAGAAAATATTGAGCTTATTATTGGAAATTGTTATATCATACTCACATGAATTTTATGGGGGCAAAATGCACTCGGTCCAAGCGTCAAACAGAATTCCAACCTTCGATATTTTCATTGTATCTGTCTTGAACTTGATAGAATTGAATAAAATCACCATTCAGCAGACTTAATCATACATTATACCCTATCCCTTAATACACCTTGTTAGGATGTAGTGTATTTACTTAAGGTTACCCCACAGGTTCGAGTGGTCTAGTGGATCCAGACGGAGAGGAGACTACCCCGGCGGGGAGATGCCATCCGCCTGGAGAACCTTGAGATACTCGCCAATTCTCAGGCTTAAGGTCCCTTTAGGATCTCGCCGTCCCCAAACCCGGTGACGCTGTAAGGGTCATCTGCGACCAACAGCATACACGTAATTTTTTTTTTCAAGTGCATATGGCACCTCATGTAAACATGGTGCTGTTTTCCACTTTATGTACTATTTAGGTACTATTCATTTCATTTCAAACTTAAGAAGGCATGTTACAGTATCACAAAAAATGGCATTTGTGTTTTTGCTAAAGTCATGGCGTGGTTTCAACACCCGCCTGCCAGCTAGCAATTCATGTGATTATGTAGTAATCCGTTAGGACGGACGTAGGCGTCCATCCGCGGACTTGCAGTCGCAAGGTGACCTATTCGACTAAGATGAAATTTTTACATCACATACGAGTACCATTTTTTAACGGGAAAAATTTTTATTCAAATGTTGCCAGATCTTATAATTCAGGGAAAAACAATAATTGCAGTAGTGAACCTCTTAAATCAAAATATACTTCACAGAATAAATCCCTGACTGCAATGACTTTTTTTTAGTTGAAGTCTATTCTCTGGCTTGGTTTTTTATTTATAATAATATGTATTTCATAATATGCATATCTGTCTGCGAATAGCGGGCGTACACCAATCCAAGCGGGTGAAAACCGCCGGAAACTAGTTCTTAGCCTTAAATAACCTTCAAAAATATAATTTTATAGTTCATCATCATCATAATTCAAGCATATAACCGCCCAATTTCTCCATCTCCATGCTAATCATGGAAATACAGAGCATCAATTTCTCCGCTGTACGAGCTTCTAATGAAAATAATAGAAAAAACCTCGTTTCGCTTCCTTAGACAGCACTGGTAACCAGTGGCGGACTAACAAGGAGGCGGGAGGGGCGGCCCGCCCCGGGCCTCCGATCTTGGGGCCCCCCCAAATGCCCCCCCAAACCTACATAATTTCATCAAGATCAAAACACTACAGCCATCTACTTTTAACGCGGTACTAATATTCTTTTAACTTCGCTGAAAGCGTCCGATACGCTGGGGGAATTCCCGTCTCTGTAGCGGGTACTTTCTCAGGAATCCCTGAATGAATGAAGTACAAATAATTCACTCTTGTACGCCTACATTTATTAACATTATATTTATATCGAAAAATAAACATAGGCCTCATTTAAAATGTAGGTAAATTTCATTACGTTAACATTAAATAGCTTTTTGGTGTTAGTTTTTACGGGTTAATGCACGAAACTTTATTTATTTATTGACGTTTCGCAGCCTTTTCAGGTCTGCATCGTCAGAATAATGATTTTATTTAAAATTGTCGAGCTACCTTCGAAAGACTTATATTGAGCGTTCGGTTATTTCATTGGAAGATTTTTAAAATTTTATTGTCTATGTATGAATTTATTATTTAATTTACTTAATAAAGTATTTTATTTAAAATTCTTGTTTGTAATTTTGAGTTTATTTATTTGACCCTGACTACCGTAAACTACCACCGGTTCCAAAATTGGGAGACCTTCCTGAGAAGCATTGCATTGCATAATTTAACATAAGAAGGAGACAGAAAGCCTCTCTTGAGTTTGTTTCGCCGGTTCTTCTCAGGAAGGTCTCCCAATGATTTTGATTTTTGTTGCGGTATAAAAGTAAACGAGTTCAGAGTTGAGTTAGTGCATTTGACGAGTATTTGCAAAAAGTAAATAATTCTTCGTATAATTGAGCCTAAAAATTATAATCCGTACTTTCTAGTCAATGTTGTCGATTCTGGCATGATTCTCTAAAGCTAAACTAAAATCTGACAACAGTGTATCTTTGTCATTCTCTATACAGAATGAAAAGGACAGACTGATGTTAAATTTAGTTTTAAGTTAAGAGAATCCTGTCAGAATCGACACCAATATGCACCTACGTTTCTAGTCAATGGTGTCAATTCTGACACGATTCTCTAAACCTAAACTTAAATTTGACAACAGTGTATCCTTGTCATTCTCTATACGGAATGAAAAGGAGAGATTGATGTTAAATTTAGTTTTAAGTTTAGAGAATCCCGCCAGAATCGATACCAATATGTACCATATTGTAGGTATGTATGTTTATTTAGCCGAAATTAATTGGAATTTAAATTTCACTTGCCAGATTTTTACGAAACAAACAAAGAAACTATATTTTTTTAAAGCTGGGGGGCCTCATTCAGCTTTGCCACCCCGGGCCTCTGACGAGCTTAGTCCGCCACTGCTGGCAACACACACTTGAGCCTTCATGAAACTAATAGAAAAAAACCTCGTTTCGCTTCCTTAGACAGCACTGGCAACACACACTGATTGAAGACTTGTCTTGAGACACAGATATGCAGATATTCCTCAGATTCTCGAACGTTGCCCATCCGAGCTAGATGAAGAGTGATCTCTCTCAAAGTTGGACTTGCCTTCCTGGACTGCTTGTCCCAGGGCAACAACTTCGAGTATCTTTTAAGTTCTCAGCCATAAGTAAACCTTTATTGGCAAATTGAGGGCGTGATAGGTACTAAGGCTTAATTAGTGAAGACTTTTCAGAAGCCGGCTTGTTCGTCCTTGAAAGTCTTCAAACCTTTTCGATTCCTAATAACTCTCAAAAACAACATATAAACATGGCTTACAGTACCAGTAAAATTGGTCGATAGTTTTTCCATATGTGTATCAACATCCTTTTGGAAGAAAAACCTCACTTCCTTCCCAATCCTTTGGTGTTTAACCTTCGAGATTGACAGAGTTAAAAAGCTTCTGGGGGACTTTGAGTTGGGGCTTTACTGTGATTCCAGAATCGCCGGCCCCTCATCGTTTTTCAAGTGAAAACTTCTTTAGGCGTGTAAGGCATTTTTGAGATGGGAACTACTTACCTTTTACAGACAACTTAGCAATGTACATAATTATATTTTATTTTGCCTAACGTTGTTAGTAGTGGCGTGATCTAACAACTGTAACAAACGCTCCTTCGAGTGCAAGAGGTCTTGCTTGCGTTCAAACCCGACAGGCATAGTTTATTTTTCTTTGTTTATTTTTATTTACATGCCGAGTTATTTTTTTGAAATGAAAACTTCTTTACTCTCGTTGGGCTTTTTTTTGAGATAAGTTTTTTATAATAGTTTTTCTTGAGTTTTCACTTCTGTCGGCACTCCCGGACTGCCACCGTAATTTATTGTGTATGTTTGAGAGTCTTCCATACAGGTTTAAGTTCAGTAATCATCGCTAAAGTGTAGAGTAAGGTAAGTATGACTTTGGAGTTAGGAGAGTTGGGCTAGAAGCCCTGCTTTCAACATGTGCTTCCATGGAATATAACTGCCGATAGAAACTCTGAATCTTCCGCAGGATTACAGATTTAAACAAAATAATGATATCGTTGTTTGTCTGTCTTCAGCTTCATCAATACGCTTTGCGCAATAGACGGGACTTTCGCGAACGCTTTGGAGCCTTATTTCCGAACGGCAACCTCTTTGATATGTAGCCGTATCAAATCGGCGAAGAGCGCTCGTCAACAAGTTAGGGATCGTCCATTAAGTACGAGAAGCTCGAAAGGGAAAGGGGGAGGAGGATTTTGGATAAAAATCACAAAATATCACAAAGAAGAAGGGGGGATATAATGAGATACCTATCATGTATTTATTTTTCGTTAAACATACGGCGCGTGGCCTTGATATCATTAAATATGATTTTTTATGCTTGATACTGAACTTTCTAAAGGAGTACATCATGAAGAGTTAATCCTTCTCCATGACTTCAACCAACATCTGGCCTCTGTCATTCCTTTGCCCAACTCCATGTTGCCCAGCTGTCAATTTACCAGTCCAATGCTTCCCTAACTTCTGGTTTATCTCCCTGAACACAACCATGCAGAGGTTTGTAGCTTTGCATGGCTTTAGAAATCTCCCTATATACATAGCCTCTGCTTTTTCATAGAAAGTGTAGAAACCTGAATGACATTCAACAAATATCTTTTAGATATTCTGAGTATCAGTTACGCTACTCTGGTCAAGACACTTCCAAAGGCCGATTCTTTGGACAACTTACAAATTGCTTTTCCTATCTCTATTAACTTGGCGACAGTCATAAGTTTACAGATGTTGTTGGTTGCTAACTCGAGTCAGTTTTTTTAGGTTAAATTGTGTCATATGTGTTAATCTAGGTGATAAAGTATATTTATGCATTCACATCTGATCAGCCACTTAGGCATCAAAGAAGCGTCAAATATCCATACAAACTTTGTCATTTATAATATTAAGATAAAATTAAAAGGAAGAAGGATCTTATAGTTACCTCTTATGAATGTTAAGTTTTTGTTGTGAATTGTCAAATTTGTTACTGCCCCTTAATGAACATATAATAAAGCTTTCCTGGACACCAACCAGCTCTCCTACTTTTTTCATGCCTTTTGTTAATGACTCCCATAATGTTAGTAAATGTAGCCAATCTATTTCTCCCCATTGATTGCTTACACTATAAGGTGTAACTAAATAAATAAGATGTAGATCATTTTCCAACACCAAACATTGTCGAGCTTTTTGTAGCTCACAAAACAAAGATAATCCATCATTTGGAGCCATTGATGATGAAAGACAAGCTTTACCAAGAGGAGTAGCTATGTATTGTATATTTTCATCTTCATTTTGCATTCTAACTAATTCATAATTTATTAATTCTTTTAAAGTCTTCTTTAAAAGACTGTTATCTGTCTTAAGTGTCTCATTTTCAGCATATAGCAAAGTGCATTGTGAATACAATTCTAATTCAGATTGAGAGCATACAATTTGACTAGCAATCATTTCAAGTACAGCTCTCATAAATTTATCCTCACTCTCTATGCAACTTTTAACTGGAGCTAAAGCACCCATCATTAAATCAAAACCAATTTTCTTTTCTGCTTCTGTACATATTAAAATACTTTCACCTTTTGTATCTTTCCCCATTCTGCCTGCTCTACCAATCATTTGTTTATAAGTCAGAATATTAATTGGTTGCCTTTGAAACACAGGTGTTCGTATAATTACTTTCCGTGCAGGTAAGTTTACACCAGAACTCAATGTAGATGTAGCTACTAAAACTCTAATAGCTCCAGACTTGAATCCACCTTCTATGATATCTCTTTCATCAAATGTAAGTCCAGCATGGTGGTATGCAACACCAAAAGATATTGTACTCTTTAGAACTTGATCTAAACCTACAGGACTATTTTTTAACTGCTCTAGCACTTCAACAATATTATCAGTTTTTAGTTGGTTTCTAAGAATCAAGCCCATTTCACTACCGGAACAACCAATTTTAAAAAATGATGATGACAAACTTTGAGCTAAATTTTCACACCTATTTTTTGTCATGCAAAATATCAACACAGAACAATTTTCTTTAATGGTATCTAAACATAGTTTTAATACACTGTCACTTTCCCCATTAGAAGAGTTTTCATGCATAATATTCAAATATTCACCATTCTTGTTATAAAACTTGTTACCAACAAGGCAATATTCATCAAGAGGTATTGGCCGAAACTGAGTAACAAACAGCTCAGCATTTAACCAATTTGCAAGCAAGTTTAAGTTAGGTAATGTTGCTGACATACCAACAACTTGAATTTGTGTGTCAGCAAATTTCACTGACACATATTTAATTTTCGTAAGAAGAAGTTCAAGGATATAGCCACGGTGTGGGTCACCAAGCAAGTGTAACTCATCTACTATAACTGCTCCTAATTCTGATATGCTGCCTTCATCCAAAAGTCTATTCACCAAACTATTTGCTTTTTCAATAGTACAAATAGCGACATGGACAGCTTGCAATCCACCAGGTGGAGATTGAGAACCCATAAAACCTTCAACACGAATTCCTGCACCCGATAGAATATCTTGCAAATAGAACATTTTTTCTCTCACAATAGACACAAAAGGTAAAATAATAATAACTTTCTTTTGGCGTTCTATTATAGTCTTAATAGTAATGATTTCAGCAACAAGAGTCTTTCCAGCTGAGGTGGGAGCAGAGAATACTAAATTACTACAATCTATTAGAACTTTTGGGTTGCTCAGGCATGTGACTTGCCAATCAAACATTTCATTTATCCCTCTTTCTTCATATTTGTTAACTATATCATGAGGTAAACCCCAGTCTTTCAAATTTTTATTCACCAGCTCAGTTAGATTGTGTATACTCTTGCATTTCTCTTTTACGGGCACTTTATAAATAGCCTCATCAACATTTCTAAAAGCAACTGATTTATTTACCGGCAGTTGTGAATGTTTTTCTGCGGATAAATATTCTTTTATTGTCTTTAAAGTTGTCTGTAAAACACTGAATGAGTTATCGAAACAATTTTCTAAAAAACCAACACTCTCGGATAAAAGCTGTGAATCCATTAAGTCCCCATCTGCCATTATTAAATATTTTTATGAATTCATAAAATAAACATGATTCTGATCACCAAACAAATAAGATCACAGACTAAAACGAATTGAACAAAGAGTAATTTTTATTAGAATATAACCTAGATTTTAGAGACGGAACTTCATACTTATAAAAAAAGTAAATATTTTGCAGGACATCAATTTTAGTACCAACTTCAACAAAGTTAAGAAATCCCAATAACGCCAACATAAAAGCTGATTGTGACAGCTGTCCACTGAGTTGACAGCTGTCACAATTAGGGCTGCAGAAGTTCGATACTCGATAAGATTTAGTATGTATGGCGAATTGTACGCAGATAAATATACAAGACACTATCATAAGAGCGTTCTCAAGGGTTCGCTCCGTGAAGACATATCTTCTGACCTGCCGCGTGTTCACTGGGGAATAAGCCTAGTCAATACCAAGATGCAGGAACTCCATTTATGAGGCAAATGGTGTCCATTCCGGCGTGATTCTCTAAACTTAAAACTAAATTTAACATCAGTCTCTCCTTTTCATTCTGTATAGAGAATGACAAGGATACTGTTGTCAAATTTAAAGTTTAGATTTAGTGAATCGTGCCAGAATCGACACCAAAGTCCCGGAATTGCTAAGCCAGCATCTGGCAACCCTTGTTACAGGTCGCGGGCTTAGAGCATTTATACCATTTATATAGGTATAAATGCTCTAAGGTCGCAGCACAGCGCAGGCACTGGTGTCGATTCTGGCGTGATTCTCTAAACTTAAAACTAAATTTAACATCAGTCTCTCCTTTTCATTCTGTATAGAGAATGACAAGAATACACTGGTGCCAATTCTGGCGTGATTCTCTAAACTTAAAACTAAATTTAACATCAGTCTCTCCTTTTCATTCTGTATAGAGAATGACAAGGATATACTGCTGTCAAATTTAAGTTTAGGTTTAGAGAATTATGCTAGAATCGACACCACTGTTGTCAAATTTAAGTTTAGATTTAGAGAAACATGCCAGAATCGACATCAATGGTGTCGATTCTAACATGATTCTCTAAACCTAAACTTAAATTTGACAGTAGTATATCCTTGTCATTCTCTATACAGAATGAAAAGGAGAGACTGATGTTAAATTTAGTTTTAAGTTTAGAGAATCACGCCGGAATTGGCACCAATGTCTAATTACTACCCTTGACCTTGACTTGACTTGAATTGACCTTCAAAGTAAATTTAGGCATTTTTCAAGGAAAAAAAATAATTATTTTCTTTTATTTAAATCTTTGCTTTTCTCTTTTCGATTTGAGTAAAACGCAGTTAATTGTTAACAAAATAAATTTATTTAAAGCAAATTTTCAAAATTTCGCCCTCCCACAGAAATATACAATCTACATCTGCGCAAAAAATTATGTTTTAGGTGCCTAAAAGCTTCACGGTTATTTTTCACAGTGGTTTCAGCTTCGCGAATTTTTGCTCTCGCAATTCTTTAAAGTAGCCCCAGATAAAAAAATCAATAGGGTTGAGGTCAGGCGAGCGTGGTGGCCAGGCAATTGGCCCTCGTCGTCTGATCCACCTTTTGGGGCAGGACTTTGAACTCCAAATTCCCCCCCCCCCCCCCCCATTTATATTTTTTTTGATACTTTGAAAATTTGTGTGTACTGAGCTCAAATCGTAATTTTGAACTTTCGAACAAATTCTAAGTGAATTCTGCAATGCCTAGATAAACCATAAGTTTTAGGATGATAGGTTAAACTATGTTAGTCAGTTATTACAAAAAAAAATGGGTGCGTGTACTTATGTAGGCGCGTGAGAAGTTATCCTTCTTTGGCATCGTTTAAAATTAGTTTTTAATTGCATGCAAATAATTAATTACAATAAATTAATAAAAAGTCTGGAAAAGGACACAGTCTATAAAGTTCAGTTTTAATTTGAAAAAATAAATAAATAATCAAAATATTTAATTAAAATCGCTACTGAATATAATTTATTAGAACATATGTGATTTGCACTTGTATGAAACTCAAACACGTATTCCGAATATACAAACTAGAAACATGTGGATAAATATTATAAATATGAATACCTATAACTGTTACTTTATTACAAAAAATAAAGATGTGGTTTTTGGTTCTACTACACCAATGGTCAAGAGATGCCGCTGTAGTCTCCTGAATCGCGCTTTGGTTCCGTTGTTCCAGATTAATAAATACTTTTGATATTATAAATATGAATACTTATAACTGTTACTTTATTACAAAAAATAAAGGTGTGGTTTTTGGTTCTACTACACCAATGGTCAAGAGATGGCGCTGTAGTCTCCTGAATCGCGCTTTGGTTCCGTTGTTCCAGATTAATAAATACTTTTGATAGGCCTTCCCAATGCAGTCGTTAGCACCCACAAAATAGAGAGATTCTATCTCTATTTTGTTGGTAGATTTTCTTAATATGCGGTAAACACAAAAGTAACAGCATGAAGTTGGTCGCTAAAGCGACCAACTTCATGCTGTTAATTTTTTGTGTTACAGTGATGCGCGCGCATCTTAAAATTTCACTCTCATCATTTTTTCATAACGCGCCTAAAGAAGTATAACTTCAAAAACTGAACCAGAAACGTCCAACAAAATGAGGAAAAAATCGAAAACCGATGTTAGGTGAAAATTACGAAAAAAACTTTAAAAAAATTATAACTCGAAAAGTACGCAAAATCGTAGAACATAGATGGGGGTGATTTGGATACTCCTCATCATAAAGTATCTAAATTTTACTTTTGAACGTCAACTCCCCGGCCACCGTGTATATCAAATTCTTCTTCACTACTGTAATCCATTGTAAAAGAACGCCATAATTTTCGAATACAGCCACAAACAAAGAAAAAACAAAACCTCGAACAGCAAATAACAGTCAACGCAAATAACCTAAAATTTTTGACGAAGTCAAAAAGAAAAGAACAATATTGCACTATGCGTTGCGTAATACAGCTAGCAGGCTACCTTGGCTGTGCGTTCATTATAAGGGACGCATAGTGCCGGTCGCCACTCAAGTATTGTCTATGAATAGGTTTTTCGGACCCTGTGCGTTAACGCACCCTGTGAGACCTCATAGTAATGTTTATGAATACGGGTGTAAGTGTGACAAGATGTGACAAGGGGGGACGGGGGGTCTACGGCAACGTGATGTTCGTCATTCATTAAAAAAAATTAAATTAGTATTTCTTTCAACTATTTTTCTTTCTCAATTTTATCAAGATAGAAAATCATTTATTTCGTATTTAGTAAACATATAGACATTCAAACGTATATAGTTTTATTATACAAATTAAATTGTAACTTGATATATTTACTCATGTTTATTTTTCGACATTAGCGCATATTTATATATTTAAATTTTATTATAAAAACTAAATAAATAGAAAAAAATCCACGCGGACCAGGCAGCAGACGGGCCTCGAACCCGCACCCTTCGAAATCGAAATTCTTCTAGCCATTCGACACGGTCCGTGAGGGCCGCGGTAGCATAATTGGTCAGTGCATTCGCCCGGATTGCGAAGGATGCGGGTTCGAGTCCCGTCTGCTGCCTGGTCCGCGTGGATTTTTTTCTAGTTATATTTTCTTTAGATTTAAACATCAAGCAGTTACATGCTTTAAAATAATAAAAATTATAACTAAATAAATATTTAAATTCTTAAAATTTGTGTACTATCAATTGAAATTAATCATACTTGGGGAGGGGGGGGGGTCTCCGTTTTTGTGACGGAATATTTCAAGAGGGGTCACAGAAAGTGTGACACAGCGTGACAATAGGGGGGGAGGGGGTCGGAAAAAGCTGATTTTAGCGTGACGTATTTTATGAACGGGCCGTTCATGGTTCTTGGGATGTGTCTAACCCATTATATAAAAATAAACAAGCAAGGCATAATTCCTTAGAGATTTTGCTGAATAAGTGGAAAATTTTTGATAAAAATATTACTATTTAAATATAACTATTTATTTACGTTTATTAATTGAGTCACTTAAATATAATATAACTATATTCAAGTGACTCAATTGCTTTCTTTTTAATAACCATTGTTTTGTTACAGTCTTCTTTTTCTTTTTTTCTCATCTACATTTGTAGTTAGAGCCAAGATTAATCCAATTTTTTGTTTCTTGGTAAGAGGCATCCTAATACAAACAAGTCCGTTCAGCAGAGGCAACAAATAAAACTGAAATTGACGATCTTGTTGTGTATGTATAGACGGACGACCAGATTGTACCCAATTCAATCGGCAATCAGATTGGCAATCAAATTGTGTCGTGTGGAAGGGGTTTAAGAATAGGAAAGCCAATGACCTCCATCTGTCAAATGTCGCTTGAAAAGTACGGTTTGCAAAAAAATCTCGGAACACTTTATTAGCACCCAGCTGATTCTAGAATAAAAACCAAACATTTTTAAACAAACAATAACGAATGTTGATAATAGGCTAGTTGACCCTTTTTGGAAAAAGGTTTTAAATGGTTAATAAATGTTCTATTAGACCGAAAAAAAATGTATTGTATTTTTTTTAAACCTAGAAAGCTACAAATCTTTAATTTTAAAATAGACTTTTCATGGACATACAAAAACGCTGTCGGCCATTTTAGTCTATAGATTGTCTATGCCAGTGGTTCTCAAACTTTTTAAATGACGGAACCCTTTTGGGAAGCAAAATACTTGATGGAACCCTACAATAAAACAATTATTTTTATAAGTGTATTCTATATTAATCAGCATAATAAAAGTACAATGTATCCGTTACTAATTATTATTTACTTCACCACTTGGTAAGGACAATAATAGAAAACATTAAAAAAGAAAAAATCTAACTAGTGGGAGGTATGAAACTGTTTTTTATTTTTCATCAATTGCTTGATATCAGGTTTGATGGAAGAAAGTTGGAGTCTCATATCAGCTTCGGCGTCCAGTCTATTGCGATATTTTGTTTTCGTGGCTGCGTAGGTAGAGAATCCTGTTTCGCACAAATATGTAGTTGGGAACGGGAGAA